GTGCCCCCCCCTTTGGCGCCCCTGCCCCATAGAGCCTCCCTGAACACCGCTTCCTCATCCTGCCTCCCCCAGCCATGTAGCCTCCGCGAGCCCTCCCAGGTGTGTCGTGCGCCAGGCAGGTGAGAGCCCTATTGAATCCCCTTCTTATTAGCTCAGTGCTGTCCAGAGCTAATCTCTAAATCCACATCCCAGCCCGCTGGCCGAGCCTGGTGCCTGCTGGGGCCCGCAGGACAGTCGGTGCGCTGCGTGCTGACGGGGGCGAAAACTTGGGTGAGGGCAGTGCAGGGCCGCCACCCAGGCCCGTCCTTGTCCCCACGTCCATCTCCTAGGGCTCGTTACCAGCAGAACGCAAAGCTTTCTTCCAGCCCACGAAGGATGGGCAGGCCTGCAGCGCAGATGCAGGGCCCCGTACCCGCTGGCAACGCCAACGCTAAGGGAGCACTTGATTTTCCAAACAGCAGTAAGGACTTAAGTTAAGGAGGCCTCCCAGGCAGGCTGGGTCTTCCCCATCAGGCTGGAGGTCCCCGGGGTAGGGCTGTGTGTACCCATCACACTGCAGGCCTTCCCAGGACAGCACGGTGTCCCCCATCAGACTGAGGTCCTCCAAGAACAAGGCTGGTCTCCCCGATTAGACTGGAGAACCCCACAGGCAGGCCGGGCCTCCCTCCTCTTCCCACTGCTGTCTTAAACGAGCACCCAGGGCACAGGGCTCGGGCGCCCCATCCCCCCTGTTCATCCTGGGCTGGCAGCAGGAGAACGCTCACAGGGCCCTGTGTCTGCTGCAGGATGGTGCGGGTGCCGATGGAGGGCTACGGGGGGCAGGCCTAGGAGTCGGAGATGTCCTTCTTCCTCCAAAAGGCTGAGACCCAGGTCGGTCAGGGCCCCCAAAGCCCCTGGGAAAGCCAGCTGTCCTTCACCACCTTCCTCCCGGAGGGCCGAGGAGGTTAGAGGCCCTGGAGGGAAGTGACTGGGTGGCAGGGGGAGCAGGGAAGCCCCCAGAGTGACCCAGGCTGGGAAGGGAGCCTGTGGCTCCAGCTCCTTCCAGGAAGAAGGGAATCAAGAAGGCAGGGATGCCGGGGCAGCGGTTTCCCCTCCCATGGGTGTCCCCCTGGCCAGGCCCAGGGGCACCAGAGAGGTCAAAGGTCCCCAGTGCTATGTCCCATGTAGCAGCCCCTGAAGTGGGAACCAGCCCAGGAGCCACCGCCAGCCCCAGCCCTCTTCTCCTCAGAGGGGATCACAGCGCCCTCGCACACCCTCAGTTTCCCAGTTTCCCACGCGAGCTGCCCCAGCCCGCTGCCCAGGATCTGGGCTGTGGGAACTCCACCCTCCCCGGCGCCCAGGAAGGGCCGGCACTGGCCAGGCACTGCAGCCGCCAAGCACCACTCACTCAGGGAGGACGCGAAGGTTAAGTTCACACGTCAACTTGACTGGGCCACAGGAGCCCAGATATTTCCCAAACACCATTCTGGGTGTGTCTGGAGGGTGGTTGGGGTAAGATTAGCATCTGAATGGTACTGAGTCAGGCAGGTGGCCCTCCCCAGCGTGGGTGGGCCTCATCCAATCCACTGAAGACGTGAATAGAACAAAAAGGCTGAGAAGGGAGATCTGCTCTCTGCCTGGCTGCCTTTGCGCTAAGACGTCAGTCTTGCCTGCCTTCGCAATCACATCCGCCACCAGCTTTCCGGGCCTCAAGCCCGCCAGGTTCTGAACTGGAGTTTACACCATCGGCTCTGCTGGTCCTCAGGCCTCTGCATTCAACCGGGCTACACCCCCACAGCCCCTGGGGCTTCCCAGCCTCCGCACCCCGTGAGCCAATTCCTTCTAATAAACCTCTCCATGCACGCGCACACACACACGCACACACACACACACATGCACACGCACATGCGTGGTCAAATACATTCTGTTAGCTCTATTTCTCCAGAGAACATTCTGTTAGCTCTATTTCTCCTAATACAGTGAGGAAAAGGACTCCCAGGAAGGGACATTATCTCATTTTTACAGATTGGAAAACCAGCGCCCACGCGGGGGCCGGCACAGAAGCGCCGGCTGGCAGGTGGCAGGACTGGAAAGCAGAGCCACAGGCCCAGCTCCGGAGACAGCACCTCTGTGCCGTGACAAGCAGCACAGGAAAGTAAGCCAGGGAAAGTGGTGGCCCGCGACCCTTACACTCACCCCCCAGTTTCAGAGCTCATTCGTAGTTCCCCATGCCTCTGTTTCCCCATTTGTTAAATGAGGATTGTACCATCCAGGACAGTCGTGAGCGCCTGTGTTCTTAACACTCCAAGGACTCCCCTTAGTGGACCCGCTTGTCTGGCGATGAGCCGATTTACAACTGCACGAGGATAACCAAGAAGGCAGGGAGCAGCCCTGGTGAGCCACTCCCAGAGCTCTGCTCTGGGCCCAGTGGCGGCTCATTCCAAATTGACAATCCAAACAAATCAGGTGGCAGCAACCATCGCCAAAATATCTCTCAGGGAGCCACACCCGAGTCTCACACCAGCTGCCGGTGAGGGACTGCAGGGTGTGGCCAGGTGGATGGGCAGCACTGCTGGTCAGTGAGTGACAGGCGTGGCCCCAGGAAGAGCCAGGCACGAGCCCCAGGATAAGGCCCTCATTCTGGGGCCAAGCATGGGCAGCGCTTGAAACAGGGCAAGGCAGGACCAAGGCACCCACGTTGTTCAAAGAGCCCAGCCTCCAAGGGGGCCGCGTCCACACTGGCCACACCCTCAGCACAGCCAGGGCTCTGTGGGGACAAGTCCTGCGTACCAGTCCAAGGACAGGACCCGCCCCACTCTCGCAGGCAGCGGCAGACACAACTCAGGATCCACTGCAGTCGGGCCCCTTCCCCCTCGGCAGCCCTGGTGACACTCATGGGAGGCACCGGTCTGGGCCCAGCAGGGATCTCGGGCCCCCTCTGCTTCCCGACAAACTGCCCCATCCATCCCTGAGACACAGCTAGGAGCGGAGAGCAGTGCTGGAGAGGACGTAAGCAGGGTCAGCAAAGGTGAGCCAGGCAGGTGGCCCCACGGGCCATGGGCCACGAGCCACAAGACAGGGCCAGTACCTGAGTCTGCAGGGTGGTGGCATCCAGGACAGTGACCCGGGGCCCACAGCTGGCCCACACCGTGTCCTCCAGGCTCAGCAGGGTGCGGACGGGCCCTGGCCCCACAGTCAGGCACACGGGGGGGCTCTCCAGGTCCCACAGGACTCCTCCTAGAGGGGGAGGAAAGAGGCAGGTCAAGGCAGGAGTGGCAGGCAGGCCAGGCGCCCAGGGCCTCAGGAACGAGGGTCCCCCACACACCCTCTCCCCCCGCTGTGGCCTTTCTCCCTCCTCTCCGGAGGGTGGCTGCTCCCATCTGCCTCTGACCCCACCACTACCTTCCACCCCATCGGGACTGTGCTCTTAGATCCCTCCCTCCTGCCCTCCCTCCCTCCTGCCCTCCCTCCCTCCTGCCCTTCCCTCCTGCCCTTCCCTGCCCTCTCCCATTCATCCATTCTGCACACACTTAGTAAGCACCTGCTCCAAGCCAGGCTACATGCTGGCTGCTGCGAAGACCAGAATGAGTCAGACACCAGCCCTGCCCTCAGAAAATCCCACTGGTCAGCGAAACCAACAGGTTAGTCAACAGGCGCCCTGCAACGTGCCAAGCACAGGTGAGCAGGCATGCGCAAGGGGCCTTGAGAACTGCTGAGATGGGAGGAACTGACTCTGCGTGGGGGGAAAGCAAGGGAGGCTTCTCAGAAGAGGCAGCATCTACACCAGACCCTGCCAGGCCAGCGTGACATGGTGGAAGGTGTCCTGAACCCAGAGTCAAGAGACTCGAGGTCTGGCCCTGACTCTGCTACCAACTTACTAAGAACCCTTAAGCATATCTCTCCCCTTCTCAAGGCCTCAGTTTCCCCACCTGTAAAATTGGGGGGAGGGTTATTAACAAGGTTGTCTCTGAGGACTTTTCTCACCCTGTGTCTTATCCAGACTGAACCCTGATTTCTCCTGCATCTTCTCGCCTATTCCAAGGCACTGCGTCAACTTTGCCAAGATCTCTGATCTCTTTTCCAAGGTCCCTTCCCCCTCTGGAAACGTCCCTGCCACCAGGTGCAGAAGGCGCACGCTCTGAGAGGCAATCAGCCCCTGGCCTGCCAGCCCTGACGGTGAACCAGACCGAGGCCCAGCCTGGCTCTGAGCAAGGTGCCTCCCTCTCCCAGGGCGCTCGGCCCACACGGCAGCCATCCCCCCCGGCTCCTGGCAGGGTGCACTGAGATTGCTTTTCCTCTGTAGTCACACCTGAGGCCACACGGAATCTCAGGGGCTGCCCTGTCTTGACAGGGTGCTGGGGAGGAAGCTGGGGAGGCAGCACGGAGCTGGCTGCTGGCTTGCCGGGGCCCCGCTCCCCCGCGCCCCCCACCGGATCCCCGGAACGAGTGCAGAGCAGCCCACCATGGACGGACGGCCCCTCCTCTCCGAGCCGGCTGCTGGGTGGCGTGATGGGGCACAGCTGTCTCCTGGGCTGGAGGGGCCCCAGGGTACACAAGGGAAGCCTCCCAGTTTTCCTCCGACTTCCATAAAACAGATTTGCCCTGTCCCCTTCTTAAAATGGGCAGACGCCAAGCTCAGCCAAGAATTTGGAGAAAAGGGACTCCCTCACCCCCAAACCATCTTCCCGGCCCATGAGCAAGAGCAGTCTGTGGCCCCTGAGCTTCTGCATGAATTTGGACAGGGCCTTCACCCCTCTGGGCCTCAGTTTTCCTCATCTGTACACTGGGCATGATAACCATGCCTACACGGTTCCAGATGAGGCAGGGAGCCCGTGAAATGAGCACACAATGTTTAGCTGGGCACAGTCAAAGCGCTGACAGCTGTTGCTACATCCCATTCTACACTCGCACGCCAGGCACTCTTTTGATGAATTGTTTCCGTAACTCCCAGCAAGCCTGTGTGGTGGATACTATTATTATCCCTGTTCATAACCGCGACGACTGAGACACAGCGAGTTTAAATAACTACCCTCATCTGCACAAAGGAGGCTGTGTTCCTCGGCTCTTACCCTTTGACGTCACTTGCATAGCACGACAGTGTGTCAGGGCAGTGTCGACTCCACGTAACGAGCGTGACCACAGAGACCAGAGAGCCGAGAGCTTGGGCGAGGCCACCCAAGGGGTGACAGGCCGGGTGGGATTGGAGCTCAGCTCTGTCTGGCTCTGGGCCTAGCCTCTCCTCCAACCCCTCTGCACCCCCCAGGCTCTGAAAGAGCTCTGTGGCTGGGACTGGGGTCCGGGAGGGACCGGTGACCCTCATCAGGGAGGCTGACCCCACCGATGCCAGAGCCAGGAGCACACAAGGCTCTGAGCGCCCCCCAGTGGCCAGAGGTGAGTGATGTTTGTGGCAGAAGCAGGAGCTCCAGCTGCCGAGGCCAAGACGGGGGCCAGGACAGCACCCCAAAACTGGGAAGTGGAGGCTCTGCCCTGGGGGCCCGGCAGCGATGGCCACCGGAGCCCCTGCACCCTCCACCCTGGACAGAGCCTGGCCGGGGGCAGGAGCCGGGGTAAAGGACACTGGACAGGAATCCCAGATTAGAGGCCGACGGTGAGACCCTGAACAAGAGGCTTCCCCTTGTGGGGACTCAGTTTTCCCATCCTCAGGACGAGGGGACAGAAGTGTGCCCCAAGGGTCTCCCCAGCCCTCACACAGCTCGACTCTAAGATTCTAAACACAATGGCTGTGAGCTCTGGGCGGGCGAGAGCCTCCTCCGCCTGGCAGGGGCTCCATCCTCTCACACCCCATCGCATGTTCTGGAACACGCGCTCACACGCATGGTCCCGCCCCTGCGAGACAGCCCATTCATCCGGGCCCGGCACCTCCCTCACAGCCAAAGGGAGACGAGGGACCCGTCTCAGCAATGGCGCCTTCGGGAGGCCACAGGGAAGACAGCCCCACTGGTCTGCCCCAGGGTCCAGATCGGGAGCTAGAAAGCGATGTAGTGAGAAAGCCACCGCGGCTGAGACGGCCCCACAGGGCAGCCCCGGCTAGGAGTAGCGGTAGGTAACAAGAGCAAGGGCGGCGGCCGCGAGACAGGGAACAGTACGGTCACTGTGCTCCGGGCTCTGCTGCAAGCATACTACTCTTCACAGCCACTCTACGAGCTGGGGCCATCCTCTCGTCCTCACCCTACTGCACGGGTCAGGAAACTGAGGCTCAGAGAGCCGAAGCAACAGGCCCAACCTCTCACAGCTGGGACTCAATCCCAGCCAGCCTGACCCTAGCCCACCCTTCATCCATTATGTCATCTGGCCCTGACCCCATTCCCTGCGCCCAGCCAAGGACGTTCCCCCACCCCCACCCCCACCCCAAGCCTGGCAGTGCTCCCGTGTCGGCTCAGAGGCAGAGGCGATCCTGGGTAGCTCTGTTCAAGCACATGGAAGGGGACAGTGTCCACACGGCTCAGCCCCAGGTCCCAGCACCCTGCTCTGCACCTGACACCTCACGGGCACGCAAGACATACTTACTGAGCAAATGAATAAATGAATGAATGAATGCAGGTAAGTAGAGGCTCCTGGGGGCAGCAGAGTGCCTGCCATGGCCATGCTGCTCTTGGCCTCAGTTTCCCTATCTGGAGGTTGGACTCCAAGGCCCCTCCAGCTCCAACAGTCTGTGACTCTGTGTGGCCTGGTCACCTGGGAGCCCTCACAGGTCAACTCTCGGTCACTGGTTCTGCAGGTTGTCTAGGGCTCTAAGTCCCCAGGCTGGTTTCTGCCCGTTTTGCTTACTATTCCTGGTCCTGCCCCTCTGCAGTGGGCCAAAGTGTGGGCCAGGAAGGCCAGTTTTATCCAGTCGTGGCCTCAGCTGAGCCCAGGCAGGACAGCGAGCCTGTCACTACAAACACTGGCAAACACCCCACACAGTACCCGCTCCGAGACGAAGATGAGGGGTCTGGATTATCCACGATCTCCTGACCCTCCACGCCACCGGGGCACCAGAGATGGGTTCTGAGGGGCATTGGGTCCGGGAGGTGGAGTTCTGGCTCTGCTGCTAGATTAGGCGCGGGTGTCTGAAGGGTATCCGAGGTCTCAGCAGATCTGGAGGAGAAGGCTGATGCCGCTCCACCGCTGGTCGTGGGCCAGCACTGATGGTTCCAGACCCAGCCACGTGGGGCAGGTGAAAGGTGGTAGGCAGGGACCCCACCTACCCCACATTGTGCAGCAGATCCTGGGAGCCTCGCTTCTTGGCTGGGCCACCTCTAGTGGACACCACAGGGTAGGGGGGACCCTCTCTCAGAGGCTTCCCTGGCCACCGCCAAACCCAACGCCCAGGAGTGGGCTCATGGGGAGAGTGTGACCACCAGACTCACCTGCCAGGTGGCTGCCCCAGCCTCCTAGTCAGCCTCCCAGCCTCCACTCTTGCACCCAGCTGGAGGGAGGCCAGTGCTCAGCTGCTTCTAACACACTGAGACAAGTACAAGGCCCTCATGACCAGCCCTGTTTGCCCCGGGCCATGCCTAGTACCGCTTCCTCCTCCGACTGCCCAGCACAATACTACCCTCTGGGGTCCCCCACCAGACCAACTGCTCTCCTGCCTCCAGGCTTTTGCATGTGCTGTTCCCTCTGCCAAGAACACTGTTCCCCCAACTCTCCACTTGCCTGGCCGCTCTTCCTTCAGTCCTCAGCCTCAGGATCCCCCTGCTTGGAGAGGCTTTTGCCATCTGCCCCCACACCACAGGCGGCCAGGCTCTCATGCGGCACCCCACCCTTTCCTTAGGAACCCCAGCACGACATGTGGTCTCATGCTTCCTGCTTGCTCACTTGCCCAACCCTGTCTCCCGCAAGGGCAGGGGGCATGTCCATGTTGCTCACCACTGAATCCACGGCACGTAGTAGGTGTTCAGTAAATATTTGGTGGGCAAATGTTTGCAAAGCAAGAAAGCTGGTGAGATATCTCAGCCTTTTCCTCCAGGCCCCTTGGCCTCAGCTCTGCTCGGAAAACCCAAAGCCCCTGACGTCCAGAGAGGGCTCTAGCCCAGGAGGCAGGACACCTGGGTTCAGCTCCCAGCTCAACCATGGGACTTTGGACAGTCCATTGCCATCAGGAGAATGAGGGGATTGTCCTAGTGGCTTTTCTGGTTCTAACAAACCAGGAGCCTCTGACCCCAGGCTGAAAGCCAGTGCAGAGACCCAAACCTCTCTTTGTGGGTCAAACTGTGCCCCCAAAAATCTACATGTTGAAGTCTTAACCCCCAGTACTTCTGAATGTGATCATATTTGGAATGAGGGGCCTTGCAGGTGCAATTAATTAATAGGAGGTCATACTGGAGCAGGCTAGCCCCTAATCCAAGGCGACTGTAGTCCTTATGCAAAAGGGATGTTCAGACATAGACACGCGTGGGGAGAATGACTTGGGCCACCACAAGCCAAGGAACCTCCGGAAGCTGGGAGAGGGGCCTGGACCAGACCCCTCCCTGGCTCCTTCTGAGGGAGCAAGGCTCACTGACACCCAGACCCGGGACTCCAGAACGTGAGCTGCTCAATCTGCGTTGCTCGTGGTACTTTGTCCAGGCTGCCTCACCTCCTCCTGCCCCCGCTTCCACACGGATGAGTCGGGAACCCAGAGGGAAAGGGCCAAAGGTGACCTGAGCGGGCCAGGCAGGCCTCACAGTGCGGCGGGAGCCAGGGTCGGGTGGTCCCTTCGGGCGGGCCTGAACCTCCTCAGATCTGCGCCCGCAGTTACATCTGCACGCACGCTCCGTCTGACAGTGAGAGGGATTTTTCCCTCCCTCTTCCCCCTTTAATTAAAAACTATAAATGCCTTATCAAAAGCTAATTAAAAATACCAACACAGTGCCAAGTGGCAAAAAAAAACCTTGGTTCGTTCCAATTCCCGTTTTTTACCCCGGCACCGGGCGGGGTTGCGGTTGTGGCGGCGTTCGGGGGGGGGGCGGGGGGGCCGGCGGGGCCCCGGCCGGCTTGGGCCTTGGCCTTTCGGGTTCTTTTTTCCCTTTTGGGGGGTTGGGTTGTTGGGGTTTTCCCCCTTTCCCCCATCAAACTGGGGGCTGAACAAGCCACCGGGGAAGGGACCGCCGTGCTCCATGTGGCTGCAGACAAGCTGCGTCCCGCCCCTTGGTGCCAGTGTCACCGTCCCCACAGCAGAGGCAATTCTCAAGGGCTGCGGTGAGAATTAAGATAATGCGCGTGCATGGAGCACTTCACCCACTCCTGGGGCACGGCAGCCCGAACGCCGCTAGGCTTACCCTTCCAACACGGCGACTCCTGCCAGTGACGGCCCGTAAAATAACCAGACTGAAATGCTCAGCTCCACCGAGCTCAGCCTTCGGTGAGCTGCTGCGCCCTCCAGGGCCCGTGGGGTTGGGGCTCTCCCATCATTCCCAGTTTGCAGATGAAGAGCCCAGGGCACAAGAAGGGAAGGCGCTCACCAAGGGACATAGCTGCTCCCAGGGCAGAGCCTGAACAGGGAGCCATATCTCTCTGACCCCCAAGTCCCTCTCTGACCCACCGTGTCCCCTGCCAATGGCTTCGCTGCCTGCATGGCAGCGAGCACCCTGTTCCAGCAGGGATTGCATACAGCCTGCCATGCAGGAACCCCGGTGGGGCTCGGGGATCTCCAAATGCCTCCAGCACTGAGACTCCCCAGTGCATTTCTGCACTGTCCCCTCAGCTGCTTCCTGCTACTCCCCTGGCAGAGGGCCTGGCACCCAGCTGGCACCCAATACTGCCTCCCAGCCGCCCAGCCCCACACACCCCCGATCCTTACCGCTGGCCCGAGGGTAGGCGGCGAGGGTCCCGTCCTGCAGGCCGGCGAGCAGGTGGAAGGGGCTGTGCCGCAGGCAGAGCACGGGCTGCAGGCCTGGACTCCGGCAGGTCGCCAGGCACTGGGTGCCGGTGTCCACGCTGCCGTAGAGCAGGATGCTGCGGGAGACGTCCAAGAGCTGATCGTGACTCACTGGGCACCCCCGTCTGCTCACTGTCCCCACACCCTCCTGGGGACAGGGCGCCCAGGGGCTTCTCCCTCTCGGCCAGGCCTTGCTGCTGCTGCGTGGCCAAGCCATGGCTCCACCACGTGGGAGCTCACTTTCCATGGATGGCTTTTCGAGGATGGTGCCCTCCCTGGCCTCTGTCACCAGAAGGACCCAGCGAGGCCTTGAAGCAGGACAACGGGGTGCCAAGGGAGCTGTCCTCCGAGTCACACAGACCCGAATCCAGACCTGTCCCCTTGCGGCTGACCGCCCCTGCCATGCTGAGCCTCAGTCCCCTGCACGGATGGGATGATGACGCCCACCTCCCTGCCATGGAAGGAACAGGGCATGGCACGCTACGTGTATGCACCCTGCAAGTGTGATGCCATGTGAAGAGAAGCCGGGCACAAAAGGCCACAGTGCCAGGGCGTACGAGTCCATTTATATGGAATGTCCCGAAGAGACAAATCCGGACACACAGCAAGCTGATTAATGGTTTCTGGGGACAGACAGGAGTGGCATGGGAGGTGATTACTAAATGGGTATGGGCTTCTTTTGAGGGTAATGAGAATGTTCTGGAAGGCCCCTCCTAATCCAGGCCCGGACTTCACAGAACGTGGAGCAGCTCCAAGTGGGTTCTACGCTCCAAGTGGGTTCTATGTTAGCTGTGCTCCTCGCTCAGCTTCCCGCATGGAAACAGGAGGAAGCGGCTTGCGCTGTGCAGTGGGGCTGCTCCGAGGCTCCCGCCCGGACCTGGGAGCAGCACACAGTAGGTACTCAGGGGACACGCTTTCTGCTCGTTTCCTCCTCTCTAGGAGCTCAGGGAGGACGGGACACGGCAATGCCAGGTCCACGGGCTCTCCGGGGGACACAGCCCATCTCAAGGTCATTGTTAATCTTCATGGGACGAGTATTTCCTCACCCTTCCCACCAGGCTCCTCTGCTGAACACGGCAAGCCACAGACCGTGGCCTTCCCGCTGCCAGGCCGCGTGCTGCTGACTCACCAGCTCCGGGCACGTCCCGCAGAGGGCAGCCCCGTCTGCCAGAGTGACCTCACAACCGGGAACGCCCTGGAACCCTCACCCCGCCCAGCAAGGGGAACTGAGGCCGCTGACGGGTGGACAGTCAATGAGCTGAAGGAACAGAAGGCTTCACGTGGCCTGTGCATCAGAGGACGCTCACAATGGCCCTGCGTGGGATGACTCAGGGAGAAACTGAGGCTCAGAGGGGTTGAATGGTGTGCCTGAGGACCCACAGCAAGACAGCAGGGAAGCTGAGATTCAAGCCCGGATCTGGGTGAACCACGCGGCCGGGGAGGGGACTGCAGGGCAAGCTGCTCCTGACGCTCTGGCTGCCACGGGGCGGCTCTGCCCCACCTTCCTGGGGACGCCCAACCAGGGGCAGAGAATGTTGGTGGGGGACAGGCAGATTGGGAAGGCCACGGGGACAGCCCCACCCCGCCCGCCTGGCCCTGCACGCACCACTTTCCCCCGCATCCCAGGCCCCTCACCTGCCATCCTGGAGCCCCAGGCAGATGGTCGGATGCGCCGCGGCCGAGGGGTCAGCAGCTGCCCGGCGCTCGTCCCCGCTCTCCGCCTCCTCCTCCGGCTCCGGGATGTACTCCATGCAGAGCACGGGCGCTGCCAGCGGGAAGGACTTGACGGTGCGCGGCGAGGGCCGGTTCAGCGAGAAAATCTCCACCTGGCCCCCGGCGCCCTCCTGCCCGCCCCCGACCTGGGAGCAGAGACCCAGAGAGGCCGTCAGGCGGGAACCACGGGAACAGAGGTGGCGCTCAGGCCCTGCCTTCCCAGGGACACCGTCCCTTAAGAGGAGGTCCCCTCTCCTGCCTACATACATGCTGCAGTCACGAAGGTCACTCGTCCCCAGGTGCCATGACAGCTAATTAGCAACAGGGCCCAAAGGAAGTCAGGTAAGGAGCTCAGGTGGACTAGATAGGCAGTCGGTTTTCTATTTCCCCCTCTGCAGGGCGCGTTTCACCCAGTATATAGTCAACTTCTACTCTATCCCTTCAAAATACCTCCTCGGCCTGGACCGTTGTTTTACCCCGTGTCTAGCACGTGCTACGCAGCACATATTGGACTGTCTGGGTGGATGGATGGTTGGATGCATGGAAGGGTGGGTGGGTAGACGGCTGGATGGATGAAAGGAGGAACAGGTGAATAAATAATGGAGGGATAAATGGGTGGGTGGGAGTGGGGGGTGGATGGATGTGCTGGATATTGGGAAATGAGGAACAAATCACTCTCAGAAGGGGCGCTGCTGAAAGGGCACGATCTGCATCACAAGGAGCCTAGGAGGGTTATGGCAGGCTTTGCCAGGAACCCCGAGGGTAGCAGGTGGCTGGAATCTCTGCGTGAGCAGCATGCCAGCCAGCCTGCTTCCTGACTCCAGTGGGGGGACCCTGTGCCCACGGCCCCGTGCACGGGTCCCGCCCATTTCTTTCAGCGCTGTGGCCATCTGTGGCCACCTGCAAGAGCCGTGCTCTCTTATTTGCTCCCTGGTCTTCTGCTGCCCCAGGTGAGGTTGCACCTCCCAGCTCCAAGCAGAGCGTCTGGCACCAGAGGTTCCTCGGAGGACCCTGCTGCACGAAGCTGCACACGATGGGGCCCAGCAGGCAGGTGGCTGTCTCCGGTGCCCCTCCCAGGTGCCGCTCCTCCTGCCCCTGTCCTGCGGCCGGAATCCCTGGCTGGGTGTGGGGGTGACTCACCCAGAGGTAGCCCTGTGGAAGGGAGGTGCTGACTGCCGAGAAGCCCAGCAGGGGACAGTTGACAGGACTGTGGACCAGGGCCCCGAGCTGCAGAGACAGAAGAGGCACGTGGGTTTAATCATCAAGGCGCTGAGATGCCCATACTTGGCGGATTCCTGGGTCCTATCCGGCCCCCGAATGAGAGCCCCTGAGGGTGGGGGCTGAGAAAGCGTCATGTTTCACAGGGTCTCCAGGCAGAGCCTACACACTCATATTTGATCACCACCTTCTCCTGGAACCTTCCGTCGAGAAGGGGCCTGAATGATGCTCTGTATCAGCCCAGGGTGCCTGAAACTGGCACGGCTTGTTGAAATTCATTAATACCCACCCCCCCTTATTTCACAGATGGGGAAGCGAGGTCCACGGTGGACAGGGGACGCCCCAGGCCGCAGGGCAGGAGAGTGGCAGGGAGGCCCAGAGGGCTGGGTGGCTGGTGCAGGTCATGCACAGAGGCCTGGGGCTCTGCCTGCAGCCACCAGCCGCTTCTCCTGCTGAAGCCCCTGCCCGGGCCCCACGCTTGTGGCTCCTCAGAGGCCCGTGTCCTGAGCCAGGCCTGGCTGGTCTGTCTCTCTGGCCGGGACAGCAACATGAGGAAATGGCCTGGCCCTCTCATGGGCCACACTGATAGGGAAGGGGACAGTGGGGACAGCTCCTGCAAAAAGGAGCACAGTGGCCACGGGCCCTTTCCCAGGCAGGTGCTGCCCTCTGCTGGCGCTGCAGGCCCAGCTGGCCACGCACCAACTGGACTATTCCTACAAAATCTCTAACAGCCAGGGCTGAGTGTGCCCCAAGAGGTCGCCTCATCTAGCCTCATTTAGCTGTGGGCCAACTTGATGCTCGGGGGCAGGGGTGTGAGTGGCTCCAGGTCACCCAGAGAGTGGCAGGGTCAGGGCTGGGACTCCAGCCTCCAGTGCCTGGCCCGGTGCTCCTTCCACTCTGGATCCTGCCGCAAGCCAGGCGGCAGGCCGAGGCTGCGGCACTCCGGGCCCCACCTCTGCCGCTGAAAACGTGGGTCCCCATGCCCCAGCAGGTGTCTTCTCTAAGTCTGGCCCCCTGGGCTCCCTGCCTCTTCTGCTCCTCGGCGGCCACACGGAGCCAGGAGTGTTCACCCTGGCTCAGACATCTCCATGGCAACTCCATGGCCCCGGAGTCAGCCGGATCAACAGAGCTGGGTCTAAGAAGATAGCGAAAACTCAAATTGCTCCTTAACTGGCAAGGCTCCGGCCCTAAAAGTCTTGCTCATGCCAGGAAGCCGACTTCTGGAACATCCAGGCACCCCGTGCAGGGGAGAGGAAAGGAGTGCAGTGAAAGGAAGCAGGCTTTGGACACAGCCAACCTGGGCGCTAGCCCCAGCTCAGCAGTCACCAGCTGGGTGGTCCCAAGCAAATCGGGTCCTCCCCAATGAAGTGGAGAGCCTGGTGTCTCCGGAGGGCCATGGGGACTGCACAGGGAAGGTGCAGAGCAGCTGAGAGGCTCACCGAGGGCTGCCCATGGGCTGTGCTAGCACTTTACACGCGTGAAATCATGCAATCATCAGAACAACTCACTGGGGCGGGGCTGGCACAGTGAGAAAATGGGAAGTTCTGGCTCAGAGGCCAGTGAAGGTCAGGACAGAGGCTGCAGACCCTGGGCAGGTCTGGGCTACAGTCCCTCAGTCCCTGAAGGTGCTCGAGTTGTAACCCCCTTGAACAGTACTCCACCCTGGCTTCCCCATGGATGGAGCTGGGTCCAAGAGGACTCACCCAGCAGCCGGGCCCTGGGAAACTCCACAAACAGACCCAAGTGACCCCTCCCTCCTGAGGGCCAAAATGTCCTTGGGCGTTCACTTCCATTTCTTGAGCCCTGAGCACACACCACAGGGCTGGCTGAGTACGAGACCTGAACTGTGTCCCTTAGTCTTGACTGTGACCCGCCAGGGAGGTGCTGCGGACCCTCGGCTCACACTCGGCACATACAGCTGGACACTGGGCACTGCAGCGGCACTGACGTCACTCCGCCGGGACACGCAGGGCTGGGCTCCACCCAGGGTGTGGGCAGAGGCCCTCGTGAGCCCGGCGTGGGCACGGCCGCCCGTCCACTGAGCAGACGCCTGCGCCTCCCTCCCGCCCCTGACACCTCGTTCCCTTGAGGGACAGAACCCAGCACACCCTTGTGCAGCTGGGACACGAGCACTGATCTCGTCTACACTGGGAAAGAGGTTGGGGCTGCAACTCCCTAGGCCTAGTCCAAGCCCTCCCCGGCAAACAGGCCAGCTGGAGCCGGAGCATCTGCCCCAGGATGGCCTGGGAACCACGGTGGGCTGGGCAGGGGCCCAGGCAGCGGGCCCCACGCTCACGCCTGCTTCTGCAGTCACCAGTGAGGTGCCGGCACTCCCAGGCCCTAATTCCTGTAGCTGACAGCACAGGGCTGATGGGGCACGTCTGCCCGGGCTGGGGTGGAGGGGGGTGTGGGCAGAGCGGGAGGGGCGTCTCAGGGCCCATCAAGCGGTCTGGGAGCCCCGCAGGCCCCTTGGCCATGGATAGTCGCTCATGGCTGCCTGAGTGAGCACCGGACTCCTTGGGAGACATGGGCAGTGGGCCTGGTGGGGATGGAAGATGGTTCCGGCCTACGTGCTCCTGGGCCCCGAGAGCTCCAAATGAGGACATTTATGGGCCCTTGTCCCCCAGGTCTGAGGTGACAGATGCTCCCCACCTGGGTCGGGGTTTCTCCCAGGGAGGCCCTGGGGGCAGCAGCCTGTCTGTGACTCCACTATCCGGGGCTGACCTGTCCTGTGCTCCCAGGAAGTCAGGGCCCTCGGGGAGACGGGAGAATCCAATCCCCACCACAAGTCACCCAGGGTCAGCCTTCTCCATGGGACGCACTGAGGCCAGGTGAGTTACAGGTGCAATAGACCCTGAGGATCCCTGCTCCACGGACTCTGGTCTCCACCCCAAGGCCACAAGGCCCATGGTAGCGCCCCATTTTGTGCATCTATCACTAGTTCAGCCAGCCCCACCCCAACACACATCCCCATGTGTCCCCCCCAGCCTCCCCCAGGGCCAGTGCTAGGGTGACAGGACAGGGTACCCACCTGGAGTACAAAATGTAAGTGGGTACAACAAACACAGTTACCAAGAAAAATACTGTCAGGCAATTCTTAAAAATCAAAATTAATGCAAAAAAAAGTCCACAATGAATAATTACTTGAAATTTAAATAAAGACAAAACCTGACCCTACATTTGCACAGTCCTGACTCACTTACCTCACCCTAATCCTGGCCCTTTATTTACCAGAAAAAGCAGCCAAACCACAGGCCATAATTTGCTGATTTGATTGTGTTTAAGTACTGCATTAAAATACTATTTATCTTGATTATTGAGATGTTTGGTGCCTGCTGAAATTTCATACCCAAGGTGAGAGCCTCACTCGCCTTACCCTGCTCATAGCCCTGACCTCCACCTGGGCCAAGTCCTGCCACGTCTCGGCAGGACCCGGAGCTGAGCTCCAGGCTGGTTGCTGGCTATCCACCCTCGCCGCCCTCTTGTCTGCAGTTCACTCTCACACAATGGCCAGAAAGATCCAATGGATCTGCTGGTCCACAGCTTAGAAACACGCTCTGAAAACGAAATCCAAGCCCGACCCAGCCTGTGAGGCCAGCGGGGTCCAACTTCCCCCTCTCCCCTCATACCTTGCCCAGCCATAGCCACGCCAGCACCCCCGCCTGTTCCTGTTGCGCCTCCGTGTTGGTTTGTCTACTCGGAATATTATTCCCCTGCACCCCCATGGGGACAGATCCTTCTTGCCATTCGGGTCTCAGTTTAAATGCCTCCTCCTCCAAGAGGCCCTCCCTGAACCCACTAACCGTGTGGCCCCATCTACATATCTATCACATGGCATCACTGATGTCGTTATGCCACGCATCACTCTCGTCTGTGTCCTTTTGTTCGCTGAGTCTGTCCTGTCTCTCCCCACTAAACTGAAAGCTACATGAGGGCTGAATGTCTCAGGCACCACTGTATTCCCAGTGTCTGGCACACAGTAGGTACTCAAACATCATATGCCTAATGGACAAATGAATCAACGGATGGGCAAAGGAACTCACGTCCCAAGGCTCCATACCTTCAGCTGTTTAGATGCCAACCTACAGCCCGATCCGCACATCCCCCGGGGCTTATCGACCTGGGCCTGGCTCCCAAGTTTGCCCTCCCGTCCCCGAGCTGAGACGGCCTCATCTCCCTGGGCGACGGGGAACAGCAGAAGCTCCAGATGGAGGGCGAGCATGGCCAGGACACGAGGGGCAGGTGACCAGCGCTGGCTGCGCCTCCTGTGGTTAAGACCACGGTGCTGTCACCAGGCAGGGCAAGGTTCAAACTCCCGGATCCATTCCTTACTAGCTGTGGCCTTTTTGGAAAAATCATGTCACCTGTCCGAGCCTCAGTTTCCTTATCTGTGAAATAGACACAGAAGCAGCTACTCCTGGGGTTTTCATAAATATCAAAATAAGAGAATGACAGCAAGGCCCAGGAAGCAGGTGGGTGCCTGACGCACGGGGTACGTGGTGGCCGTGGAGAGTGCCATGATGGGGACAGCCCCCGCACCAGAGCCGGCTCCCGCCCGGCGGCACCATAACGGTCCAACCCTCAGCGTCTGGCACGGCCGCTTCAGCGTGTTCTGGAAACAGGCCATCTACTGGTGAGATCATCGCTATTTATTATCTCAAAATAATGTGATTTTCCATTCACTTGACCCATGGTGGTTATTTACCCTCATTTCTTGGTGGGAAAACCAATTCCTAGAGCAGCAAAAAGGCTTGCTCAGCTCGTCCATAAGAAAATACAAGCTGGACCTGGAACCTGAGCTTTCCTGCCATGGGCGCTACCTGGACACCAGTTCTCCCAGCGAGGGGGACCCCCGGCCACCTCCACGGCGGCTGAGCGAGATCCGCTCCACTCACCTGCAGGCTGAGGGCCCGGGAGGAGAAGGCGGGGACGCAGCAGGCCAGGATCGGGCACCAGAACGGGGCTTTGCTCTTCTTGTCCTCGTCCGGACACAGCCAGCCCGGCTGGTTCTCCTCCCCTACGGCAAGAGGAGGGAGGAGGGTGACGCCGGTCAGGGTCCAGGCACCAGGCGGGCAGGGAGCCCGGCGGCCCATGAGCCCGGCCCACCACCGCTCCCTCACGTCCACTCCCGCCCGCGTGCCGCAAAGTCCAGCTTCTCCCCGTCCATGGCCGTGGGCCCGGGCTGGGAGCCTGAGTCACGGCTTGACCACCTACCACGGAGCAACTGAGCAACTCACCCACTCTTAGGGCTCCATTTTTGCCTATAAAATAGATGACAAAAATGCCTCTGTAGTGGTTGTGGGGATCACGTGAAATAATAGATGCGAAAGGGTTTCAAATGTTAAGACGCTGAACAGAGTCCAGGTCACTGTTGCCTGAATTGGGGCTCCAAAGCGGGAGACAGACCACAACAAGCAAGGGACGGGATGGCGGCCGGGGGTTCCACTCCTGTCGGAGGGGGAGGGGCGAGGGAAATCCACTCTCCCGCTTCCTTCGAGGCTACCCTCAAACTTAGGAAGCCACCTGCCTCCAGGTCCCCCACCCCTTCCATTCTCAGTCCTGCTGGGAGGTTCACAGCCCTCGACACTCTTCCCAGCTCTGCACTGGCCTGGCTCTTTTTCCATTTGTGTGCATGTATGTGTGTGTACATGGAAGTAGGGACTCCGTATGCCCAGTATGTGGCACATGCATGTGTGTGTGTGTGTGTGTGTGCACGCACATGGAAGCAGGGATCCCTTATGCCAGTATGTGCACGTGCATGTGTGTGTGTGTGTGTGTGTGTGTGTGTGTACACACATGAAAGCAGGGACTCCCTATGCCAGTATGTGCACGTGCATGTGTGTGTGTGTGTGTGTGTGTGACACACATGGAAGCAGGGACTCCCCTATGCCAGTATGTGCATGTGCGTGTGTGTGTGTGTGTGTGTGTACACACATGGAAGCAGGGACTCCCCTATGCCAGTATGTGCATGTGCGTGTGTGTGTGTTGTGTGTGTGTACACACATGGAAGCAGGGACTCCCCTATGCCAGTATGTGCACATGCATGTGTGTGTGTGTTGTGTGTGTGTGTGTGTGCACCACAGGAAGGCGGGACTCCTATGCCAGTATGTACATGTGCATGTGTGTATGTGTACATGGAAGCAGGGACTCCCCTATGCCAGTATGTGCATGTGCATGTGTGTGTGTGTGTGCCACACATGGAAGCAGGGACTCCCCTATGCCAGTATGTGCACGTGCGGTGTGTGGTGTGTGGTGCACACCATGGAAGCAGGGACTCCCCTATGCCAGTATGTGCACGTGCGTGTGTGTGTGTACACATGGAAGCAGGGACTCCCCTATGCCAGTATGTACACGTGTGCGTGTGTGTGTATGTGTGTGTGTGTACACATGGAAGCAGGGACTCCCCTGCTATGCCAGTGAGTGCACACGTGTGTGTGTGTACATGGAAGCAGGGACTCCCCTATGCCAGTATGTACAAGTGCGTGTGTGTGTGTGTGTGTGTGTGTGTATGTGGAGAAAAATCTAACCTGCCATTCTGCTCTTGTAAAACCGCTCGCTCAACCCTACTCTCCCCGCCGGCGCCACTCTGTAACTCCCCAGCCTTTAGTCTTGGAAACTACTGACCAAGATTAGAAATTAGACATGAGCTCATCGGTACATGTTTGTGCAAGGTCGAAGCCCATGAACTTTCCCCCCCCTGTGACCCCTAGCCACCTGCGTGTGGTTTCTGTCTATAAAAATCCTAAGGAAAAAGGTCGGGGCGGCAAGCTTCCTTAGCTCGCTTGCCGCGCGCGCGCTGGTAAATAAATCCCATGCTATTGCACCAAGTCTCGACTCTGAGTCTTTTCGAGCGGCCGTCTCTCCCCCACACGGGCTGTACATTTCTGCGGCCCAACATGTACACATGGAAGCAGGGACTCCCCTGCTATGCCAGTGAGTGCACACGTGTGTATGTGTGTGTGTGTGTGTATACACATAGAAGCAGGGACTCCCCTGCTGGGCCATGAGGCCGAACCTGCTCCCTCACTTCCTTCTACCCCACAGCTGACCTGCCCGCACGTGCCGGACCCGGCACAGACCATCGGGACATTGAGGCGCATGAACGACGTCTCTTCCCAAAGCCCATTTTCCAGGTTTGTCCGACGTACCATTACATGAATGTGACCTGACTTGTCGTCAAAGACAGCGGTCAGACAGAGGAGGGCTGGAACACGTGAGCAACAACACCCGAGAACGGCCCCTTCACCGGCAGGTTGACAAACGCCATTGCGCTTGCCAGTGAAGGTGGCATCTGCGAGAGCCACGGCAGGAGGAGCCGGGACAGGCCGCCGTGTGGACGCTCTTTGAGAAGTTACAGATGGTCTCAAACGTGGGGCACTATGACACGAAGGAGCCGCCCTCAGCCTGAGTCTCGGGGCCTGGAACTGCTCCCCAAATGGGCCGAGAGGCGTTCTCTGTGCCGGGCCCTCAATGCCAGGGGGCCCTATAAACAGTCACATAAAACCTGGCCCCTGGCACCCGGGAGGGAAAGCCGAAGTGGGGGCGACCCAGGGAAAGGACCTGGCAGCACAGGACAGGACAGACGGCTCCACGTGCACCGCGCTTCACAGTTTACACGTCGTCTTGTTTCATACTCACAGCCACCCTGGACGGCGGGTGATCCCGTGCCCAGCCCACACCGGGCAAGCAGGGGCCGGGGAACGCACGGGAAGGGCCTGGGCGCCAAGAAACTAACTGGGGGCGCTGTGCACCCCAGGAGCGGGGAGGCTGCTGTGAAGGAGGGCGGGACACGGCACCCGTGGGCAGGGTGCTCACGTCATGGCTGCTGCGCTGCCTCTCGGACGAGCCGCCGGGCAGCAAATAGAGACGGGCACCACTTCAAAGTCCGTCCCGCTCTCAGGGAACTTACGATCACGAGACCTCACCTCTTCCAGACAAGAGCCCGGCAGAGCCCTCCACCCCCAGTTCCGCCCCCTGCGGCTCCTGGAGCTGGTCAGCGAGCGCCCCCAGGCCCGTCGCCTCGGCACCCCCAGCTCATCTCCTCCCCCTCCCGCACACCCGCAGCCCGAGTCCCGGCAATTTATTACTGTATATATTTTTTAATGATCTGACCTTCTCTTCCCAGATGGTGCCTTCCCTGCCTGCGCCTGGGAGCATTAAAAGAAAATGGAGCTGTTGCTCCCCATCTGCCACTGCCATTGTTCCCGTCACAAAGCCGGAGCGGCTGGGGCCAGATGAGAAGGCTGCTGCCACTGAAACTGAAAGCCCGCTTGGGATAGGTGACATTAAGAACTGGCACCAATGACAACACCGTGATTTCCAATTGACGTTAAGTGGGGGCTTGTTGAGCGTCCGTCTGTGTTTGCCGGCCCCCACGGAACGTGGGGGGGCACCCCACGGGACAAAGGGGGCAGCTCCCGGGCTGAACCCCCCACCCTGACAGACCTCAGAATAATCTCCTCTGACTCGCTAGAAAGGCCCCGGGCAGATCCTGATTCAGTCTCCAGCTTGCTGTGTGACACTGAGCCAGGTACTTAACCTCTCTGAGCCTGTTGCCTCATCTAGAAAATGGGGGAAATGATCCCAACCATCGGGAGTTGTTAGGAGCACTGGGAAGAATATACACAACACGAGCACATGCCAGGCACTCAAGAAATAGCGCCCCCATGATCACCGCCCTTGCTGTCAACAGCACGCCCACTGCCATCACGGAGGATGCCAAGCCCACCGCGGGCCCGCCCTGCTTCTCCAGCCAGACCTGCCTCCCAAGCCTCTACCGTGCTCCCTCCCAGTGTCACTCCTTTACTGTCACCGCTGCCCGGCGACAAGCCCAGGCTGCTCTCCTTGAACTCCCCAGACCCGAGGCACCTTCGAGGCGCCGCTCACACCTCCCCAGCACCACGTCAGGCTGGGCTGGACCTCAGCGGGCATCTCATCCGACACCTGTCCCCTGCAGAGAGGACCACTGGTGGCCAGGGAGGCCAGCAGGTGGCCACAGTCTCCCAGCCGGGGTAAAACCAGAGTCGGGCTCCGAGGCCAACGCCCTTGGCCACAGCCCCGGCGAGCAGACCCGCCACTTCCGAGGTGGGGCTCGGGCCCCTGGGCGGGGTGTGAGGGTGAGGGAGGTGAGGTTTAGGACGTGCTCGGGGCCAGCCACTGCAGGAACAGCAGGGTCACTATGACGGCTGTGGGCTGGAAAATAAACCCAATCGGAGGGGCAAAGGAGGGCGCAGCGGGCCCTGCACTCAGGCTCACCGCCTCGAGCCAGGTGGATATGTCCCCGAGAGTGTGAGACCAGCCTGTGGCCTGCGAGGCCTACGTGCTCTCGGGAGGTGGCAACAGGGAGGCCGTGGGTGCGAGAGGCTCCGAGGGCACATGGAGGGTGAGGCCCAGGGAGGCGGTGCTTTGCAAGCCGGGGATCAAGAGCCCCGACCTCACCTCTTCCTTCTCTGGAACCTTCCATCTGCAACCCTCTTCTGGAGCCTTTAAGAGGAGCAGACTCACTGGTAGGGAGAGGTGGGGGGACCCTGGCCCTGCTCAGCACTGAGCTGTGTGTGACCTTAGATGGACCGTTCCCCGCCTGAGAGATGAGGACTTGCCTTGTGCCAGGAGCCTGTCACTGCTGCCACATGCCCACGGCTGGCCGCCCAGCGGCCTTCCAGGCACCGTCCCCCGCATCCTCACGAGAGCCCTATGCAGGCACTTTCCCTATTTTCCGGTGGGAAGTCCGGGGCATCCAGGTTAAGTATTTTGCGGAGAGCACAAAGCCGGGAGGCGGCAGAGCTGGGAACTGAACCTGGCTGTCTGGCTCCATTTCACATGGTGCCAACAGCCACCCTTTACCGCCTCTCAGCCCTCCTGTGCACCTAAGATCCTGAATGCAACAGAGAAGGGGCCCTTCGCGATCTAGTCCGAGTGACAGATGGAAAACTAGGTCTCAGGACAGTCCTGCGGTCCCCCGGGCCCCACAGCCTGGTGGTGGCCACACTGGGGTTTGAACCGGGTCCCAGATTCCCCAGGGCTCCCTGTCCCTCTCAGATCCCAGCTCCCCACCCTATCTCTCCTTCCTCAATCTCCTCGGATTATGATCCTGGCACACTGTAGCCAGGGAGGGAGGAAGATACAGAAAAAAAATTAAAGGAAAAACATCCTTTGTGAATAAATGTTTTTAACATATTCTATTTCAAACAGGCTTATATTATCCCCCCCAAACCAGGCACTGCAGATAAAAAAAAAAAAAAACTGGCAAAATAAAAGGAACAAATTATTCAAGCCCCAGGGGAACCCAGGCATTCAAATAAGATTTCAAATGACTCTTCTTCCATTAAAACTTCTGCTGCAGTGACACTTTGTGGAGATAAGGCAGAGTCTTTGCAGGCTCCGAGGACTGGGGCTGCCCTGTCCCTCCAGGGCCGAGCCCCACATGGCAAAGCACGTGGGGTTCAAATGGGAGCTTTATCTGCCTGTAAAGCAGGTGTCCACACAGGTCTTGGGCACTTCCCAAGACGGAGTGGGTACGTGGGCGAGGAGGGGCGCGAGTGGCCTGAGGCCCGGCGGGGAAGCACCTTAGCCCCTCCGAGGGCCACAATCCCCAGCCTTCTGCCCACAATCCCTTCTCCACCCACAAAGCCCTCCTGGCCACCCAGAAACATCCAGCGGAGGCTCGAGCAGGTGCTCAAGCACCAGATCCGAGACGGACGGGCTAAGCAGAACCCTAACCCTAACCCTAACCTCACAGCCACGCCCGCCCGCGTCCACACTGCCCCTCAAGCGCCCTCTCCGCACAGCAGCCTGAATGTCCTGCTCAAATGGAGATCGGGTGGTGACGAGGTCCGGCTCGCAACGCTACAGTGAACGGTTTCCCATCACGCCCAGAACGAATCCCATGTGCCTCGCCCTGGCTGCGCCCCACCCTCCGAACCGCCCACCCGCCTACTTCTCTCCCCTTCATCCTCCAGCCCGGCCAGCCTGGTCTTCCTCTTACCCCCACTGTGGGCCCTTCGTGCTGGCTGTGCCCACGCCCGGGCCACTCTGCCCAGAGCTCCGCACGGCACCGGGTGTCACAGTCTCAGAAACCCTCCCTGTGGGCAGCCCTGACACCACGCCCAGTGGCAGCCGCACAGCACGCCCCCTCCCTGTTGATCTGCTCCCCGTTGCATGTCCGTCCACCCCTCGGAAACCTAAGGCCCTCCAGGGCAGGGACCTTTCTTCTTTTGTCACTGTTTTTTCTCCCATGCCTAAAATGATTGCAGAGATTCAGTAAATGGTTTGGTTATTTAATTAATGAACGCCAGTGACAAAGGTCCCGACTTCACTGCAGAAATGTTTTAAAACCTATTGGAAATATGTACTTATCTATAAAAAGATCACACCAGAAACAAAGCCAAAAAGCAAAACAAAAACAAGCCCCCGCTACTGGCTGGCATCAGAAAAAAGGGATTCTGGGACGTCACAGGGGATAGTGGCTCTGATCGGCAAAGGCTCAGGCCTCTCAGCAGTTCCAGAAACGGACAAATCAAGTAACTGCAGCTTGATGAGCGTGGCTTGGCAGACAGAACCTCGCCAGGTAGTGGAAGCGGAACGGACAGGGATCTAGACTGGGCTCTGGAGACAGCCTGCCCAGGTGCTGAGTCCCAGATCTGCTCCTTCCTGCTGTGTGACCTCAGCCAGGTCCCTCTGCCTCTCTGGGCCTCAGAGTCCTCAATGGTCTAAAGGGGTTCACAATAGACCTATCTTGTAGGGTTACTGTGAGCGTGAAATGAAAAACATGCATGTAAAATGCTCAGCAAAGTGCCGGCCGCACAGGAAGCACTCTGTAAATATCCATCCATTTGTGTTAGTATTATGGGGTGCATGTGAAGAAAAAAATAATACAGGTCTCTGGTTAAGAAGCAGTTTAGTCAACCTGCATCATTTGTGGGGGGGAGGGGGGTAATAGTTTTACCGAGATATAATTCAGGTACCACAAAATCCGCCCTTTTAAAACGTACACTTCCCTGGCTTTAGCATATTCACGGAGCTGGGCAACCGCCACGCTACCCCATTTAGAACATTTTCATCACGCTCCCCACAAAACCCTTGGCAGTCACCCCCACTGCCCTCTCCTCACAGGAGCAGAATTCACTTTCTGGCAAGTCCCATCATATCACAATGAGGAAACTGAGGCTCGGAGAGGGGAAGTGACTTGTCCAAGGTCACACAGCAGAGCCTCAGGACTAGAACTCCAGCTCCAGCTGTTTCACCACTGCACACCTCCCTCTAGCTCAGAAACTCCGTGTCCCCCACCAACCCTGAATGCACGCATGTCTTCACACGCCCCAAACCTTGGCGCCCCACGCCCCTGCATCCCGAGGTGCTGTCCCTGGGACTATACTCACGGAGTCCGATTTTGGCCAGATGCAACCTGTTGACCCAGGAGATCTTGCTCAAGGGGTTGGGGGTGATGAAGACCACCATGAAGCTGATGGGGCGGCCGGACCTGCGATGGTGAGAAGATGGGGAGCCTGAGTGCCCAGGACCAGGGCCTGGCTCCCAGGGACTGTCACCCAGTGCTCCCTCCAACCCATGTGAGCTAGAGATAGAGGGAGGTGTGGTCAGAGGTACCCAAAGGTGGCCAAAGAGGCTGGTGGCCTGGCAAAGCCTCAGCCCCCGGGAAAGGAGGCCCTCCAGCCACTGTGGCCCCAGGAGGGGTACCTGGCCAGAGTGGCCGGGCCACAGTCCCCAGCCCAGCCCCAGGAGCCTCTGGCTTTGTGCCTGGCGGAGCCTCCCCAGGCTGTGGCTCCGCTTGGTCAGCCAGCGGTCAGCTGTCCACAGGCTTTGTCAGACACCTACACGTCTGAGCACAAGCCTCTGGGGGGAGGAATGGGTCTCACTTGGGTCCGTTCCCAGCACCTGGCATGGGGCAGTTGCTCAGTAAGTGTTGGCTGAGTGGACACATGAACGAATGAAGAAATGAACGAACGGGTTGAGCGCAAGCTTGGGGCAGCCGAGGTTGTTATTGTCACCACACTGTCCTCTCGCCTTGGAGCAGCAGGGACACCTTTTGGAGTCCTTTGGGTCTGTTCTCCACCTGGGACGTCCCAACTCCTGGGGGGTGGGCAGGGTGGAGTCTCCACCCTCCAGGGTGCGTGGGGAGAACGGGGCTCAGAGAGTAGGGACCTGAGCTAGGCCATCGGCAAGGAGGTGGCAGATTCCAATTTGAGCTCAAAGCTGCTGATTCTCGCACACAAGCCCCACAGCCCTGTCCTACACAACAGTGCTCCAGCCTTCTCGTCCCTGCAGCCACTGCGATACCCTGTCCCCACCTTCTCCTCTCCCTTGGGGACCAAAACCTGGGCTCTGAGACCCTCACTACACGGCTCTGGGCTTCAGAGTCAGACCCCATCAGGACCCAACTCTGCCTCTTCCTGTGTGGCCTTAAGCCTCCCATGCAACTCTCTGAGCCTCATCTTCCCCACCTGTAAAATGGGGACAAGAAGACCCATCTTACAGAGCTATGGGAGGATCAAAAAGATACCTTTCCCTGTCTCTGCCAGGCCAAGCAGCTAACTCTGTCATCAATTCCATAGACATCAGTTGGGTGTCTATGCACACAAGCTCCTGGGGTGGGCATCTTGAAGGCAGGGCAGTGTTGGGGGGAGCTGGGGTCCCCAAAGAGGAGACCCAGGGTCTGCCGTGTGAGACCACACAGTCTGATGTGACTACAAAAGACATGGCACAAATGGGACAAACAACGGCAGAGTGAGTATCCTAACAGTGAACTAGGCTTACCCAAGTAATGAACATGGTGTTCATTCATTCACTCATTCATTCATTTGATGTCTTTTTGTGAGCACCTACCACGTGTCAGGGGCTGTCCTGGGCATGGCCCACAGGATGGCTCCAGGTGACCCCCCAAGCTCCCCGCTCTGCTGGCCCCACAGAGCCAGCAGCCCTCTCCCCTCAGCCCCTCATCTCACTTGTCGGGTTTCCCGGGGAGCAGGAGCCTGAGGCGGCACTTGTTGGCCGAGTGGATCTCCTCCTCCTTCACCCGCATCAGCCTCTGCAGTGCCAGGCACCAGTCTTGAGCCACGGTCATGTTCAGGTTCTAGGTCCAGGAAGCCAATGAGGTCACCACACAGCCCACTGGCTCCCCGAAAGCCACCGCAGAGCCCACAGCAATCGCAGTGCCCCAGGAGGGGAGCGCTGGGAAGAAGTCCTGAGCCACACGGGGTCTGCACGTCAGCCACGAGCAGGAGCCAGCGCCCCGTGCTCTGGGCTCAGATCCCACCTGGTGGCCCTGCGCTGAGGGGGACCCACTCTCCCAGCCAGGTTCCTCTCCAGACTGGGCAGAGGCACAGGAAGGGGCCACATGACCAAATGGCCACTGTACAGAGAACAAAAACGTTCCCACAGCCAGGCTCTGCTCCACCCAAACCAGAGGGTCCACCCCAACCAGGGGCCACACTTCTAGGCAGGGACGTGGAGCTTCAGCCACTACTGCCGCTTGTGGGGGCTCAGAAGCCAGGGCACATCAGGGCCTGAGCCAAGAGAGGGGCCCTTCCCGACTCGGCCTTCGAGACGCTGCCTGCAGGGAGGCGCTGGGGCGCTCGGGCCGGGCCGGGCGCGCACCTGGTAGGTACCGTGCAGCGTGCTGATGAGGAGTGTGATCTGCTCCACCACGGCCAGGTCCTTCTGCAGGTCCTGCAGCTCCTGGAAGAGGCGCGGGGGGCCGAGGTACACCTTATCTGGGCAGAGAAGAGACCAACTCAGCCTTGGGGGGGAGAAGTCGCTGATAAGAAGCCACTCAACAGTGAAAAAGAAGAACATGGGATGTTCTTCTTTTGAAGAATTGCCCTGGGATGTGGCACTGGAGATCCGGAAGGAAACATCCAGGTCTTGCCCTGATGGCGCTCCCAGTCTAGCTGGGAAGACGGATCCAGGCACAGGTAAGGCCTAACACCTGGGGTCCAGGCCACAGGCAGCCTGTGCACAGGGTCACAGGAGACCACAAGACCAAGAACCAGCTGTGCCTGTGAGAGACAAGGAGCCTGCACGTGGTGGGCTCTCCTGAGAGGGACAAGAGCATGTGCAAAGGCACCGTGGCTTAGGAAGCCCCTGAACAGCGAGTTTTTCAAAGACACACCGAGGACATATTATGTTCCAGATACGGCAGGACTGGAGAGACAGCAGCAAACAAGAGGTGGGGGAGGAAGCAGTCAGTTAACAGCCACAGGTAGTGGAAAGTGCTGGGGAGAAAGGTATCAAGGCGGTGGGACAGGGATGGGGTGAGGGGGCCCAGATCTCTGGGGGTGATAAACAGAGCACTGGGGGTACAGGGGTGGGCGGCAAGAGACAGAGTAGAAGGGCCTGGCAGGGCCAGATGGGGAAGACCCTGAACACTGCGCTAAGAACTTGGCCCTTGTTCTCTAGGTCACGGTTTCTCAAGTTGAGCTCGCATGAAGTGCTGGGGGGGTGGATGGGAGCCTTATTCTGGGTTTTCATTTAGATGAGTATCTAAACATCAGGCGCATGTTCTGCTGTGTGACCCCAGGGCTTCCATGGACTTTGGTGCTTGAATGGTCCCCTGGTAACAAGCAAAGAGTAAGGCTGGCTTGGAATGTGGCACAGGTTACAGGAGGGCTCTGCAGCGACCCCGAGAGGGAGCTGGTGGGAAGTGCAGACCCCACCAGGTGCCCTGTGGCTCAGGCGCAAGGTGGCATGGGCACGAGGTGGCTCAGGCAGGAGAAGGCAGAGAACCTGCACCACCGGAGTGCCACGTCCATATTGTGAGCAATTTCGTTTCAGCAAAACGACGTCATCCATCACATTAAATTAATGCTGTTAATTTGAATTTTATTGCTTTGTAGTTTTATTTTTATTCAATTTGTGAGTTTGTTCTGGCTTTATGGTTGTTCAAGGGCTATAAGCATAAGGAGTTGATTATGCCGAGTTTTGTGTCTGTATATATTTGAATAACAATATGATAAAAAATCATCTGAGGCCAACTGGGGTTCAGCAAGAACTTCCTTCCCTCTGCGGAAGGGGCCCGGCAGTGCCTGACTCTGGTTTGAGGCACGCAGCTGCAGACAAGCCAGAGGCGCTGAAGGGGGGTCCTGGGCACCCCCCAAGGACTGGCAGGGAGGGTGTGGTCTAGCCAGGGCCGAAGGCGCCCCAGATGGAGGTGACAGCAGCAGGGGCCTCCCCAGCTCTTCCTGCCTCGCAGGGCTGGGCACAGAGACGGCATCTGCGAGTGGGCACAGCTGTCGCAGCCCAGCCCCGGGTGGCGAGAGGAGATGGTGCAATGACTCCTCAGAATGTCCAGAACCGTAGGCAGCCTGTGAGGTGCCCCCCGGGTCAGGCAGTGGACAGAGGGGGAAGCGAAACCCGAGCGCCTTTCCCATGGTGGAAGGTGCTTCTGGGCACGCTCCTTCCTGCCAGCCCTGCAACTTAGCGGCCTTCGTGGAGTCGAGGAATGTTTACTGACGCCTGGCAAGAGCTATAGTAGCACTAAGGGGGAAGACATCAACAAAATGATCACCAATAAAGGGGAAAATGCAACTGGCAGGCGTGAAAGGAAGGAAAGGGGACAGGCTGGCTGAAGGGTCTGCAAAGGCTGAGGAGGTGCCACTGAGCTGAGCGAGATCAAGGTGGGTACAGGCACAGGGCCCGTGTGGGGAGGAGTGTGGCCCATCCAGGAGCCCAGGGACCAGTATGGCCAAACCAAGGAGAGAAGGGGCAGAGTGAGGGGAGGTGGGGACAGATGGGGTGTCCCCAGGATGAACAATGAGAGCCCCCAGGGCCAGGAGTGACACGCTCTGATCTGGTCTGTACTAACCTGCATTTTGAAGAGCCATCCCTGGGGTGGGCAGAGGTGGACAGGAAGGGGGCATGGGTTGGGGGGACAGCAGCCAGGACACCCCTGCAGCAGGCCAGGGCAACCAATACAGGTGGCAAGAAGCACACCTATGCACCCTCAGGTGAATTCATGGCTGTGTGTTTTGACCCAGTGGGGGCCACAAAATCAGCAAAAGCCTCCCAGCCAAGATGCCCGTCAGCCGCGTTGGGGTCCCTGGGCTGAGTCAGCCCGGGCTACGGCGGGCAGGGTGAGGGCCGCAGTGGGGCACAGTGGGGCACTACTTACTCTGGGCCTGCCCCGAGGCAGAGGCCTTCTTGGCGCCGGCGTGCTGGATGAGCACGTTGTCCTTGTCGTAGGCACCACCATCCTGGCCCACCTCCACCACCTGCACCTGCGGCAGCGCCGTGTTCCACTTCACCACGTACTTGGGCCCCAGGGGCACCAGGCTGCTGATCTCCAGCTGACCCCTGCCGGGACAGAGAGGACGCAGCCCTGGAGAGCCCGCAGCCGCCCTGCGCCAGGGCCGGGCCCCGCACTGCTCCTCGGCACACCGGTTCAGCCAGGCCACGCAGCCCAAGCACCAGACCTCAGCCAAACCAAGCCAGGCAGAGCAGGAGCCCTCGCTGGGACCGAAGCGTCGGGGTGCCCAGGCCCCAGCCCCAGATCCAGAATCACATGCCCCGAGACCCCCTGAGCCCCCTGAGCCTCTAAACCTACCTGTGGTTGGCAGGCCTGGGGAAAAGACAAGAAGGAAAGGAAGGTTGTTACTGTGACTGAGTGATTCTTATGGGGGCTGGGACCAGCTGGGGGCGGGCCACGGGCTGGGTGTCAGAGTGGAAGGAGGGCGGCCTCCCATCAGAAGCCGAGTATGGACCAAGGGGACCACACGGAGGGCCTCCTCGGCTGGGCCTTCCATCCTGCCTCTCACAGCAGCCCTGCTAGGAAGCCGAGCATAATCCCAGACAAGGACACGGGTGATGCTCAGCTAGAGTAAGTGACTCAGCCCAAATCACCCAACTGTTCCCCCAAACTCTGCCACTAGCACCCCACTTTGCACCCCACGCTAGACCCTGAGCAACGTGAGTGCTGACAAGGTGTCCGTCACATCGCTGGCCCTACACGGTGTCCAGAACAGAACTGGGGCTGGAGAATTACAGCCTCGCATGAGCGAGTGAGTGGATGCGTGAATGAATGGGTCAGCAGGAGCACTGCCCACGCCCATCGGTGACACAGCCTACCCGCCCGAGTCCCCCACCAGGACACGAGCTCCCGGAGGCAGGGGCTGGGTCCTGTTTAGGGCCACGACCTGGACAAAGTCGGGGATCAGTATGCACCTGGTGGACTCACAGAGGAGCGAGCAGGTGGCCAGAGAGTGCACAGGTCCCAGCTTGCCCCCCTTCCAGGACACGCGACCCACAGCCACAGAAACCCCCAAATCTACCGCACGGCCGTGCACGGACGTGTACACGGTGACTCTGGGTACAGAGTCGGAATCAGCTCTGCGGGTGCCCCCCATCTCCACCTCCCCTCCCCCACACGCTCAGCTGGGAAGCGGGGACCCAGGCTGGGACTGTTTCCCCTCCTGGATCTCGGCTGTCACTGGCACACTGGTGCTTCTGTGACGCTTTGTGAAGTGCAGTCAGATATTGGGAGCAGAGATTCTCCTAAGAACCCAGCTAGCAAGGACACAGCCGGAGTTCTCAGGGAGCAACTGGCTGAGGGTCCTGGACCCTGACACCTACAGAGCCACGCAGGGGGTGCAGGTGGGTGAGCTGGGCCGGGCGGGGAGGCTGAAGGAGGCAGGGCACGAGCCCCAGCTCCAGGCCTTGTAGCCTAGGGCAGCGTGGACCCAGAATGCTGGAGACCCAAAAGTTTAGGAGAAGCCAAACGTCTCAACCTTGGTGTGGACTCCCTGTGCAAGCCAAACACGGACGCCAGGAAGCCTGACACAACGAACACGCCACCAGTGCGCAGGCCCAGGCCTGAGGTGTCACAGCCTCGCCCCACTCTGGGGGCGCAGCCTGGCAGCCGGGCTCTGGGCACTTCCACAGCCTCTGGCCTAGAACCAGGACCCAGGCTCCCGTGGGCAGAAGATGCTCTGGGCTGCGGGCGAAAGGCAAAGACTCGCATTGAAAAAACGCTGCCATCTGGCCGGAGGAAACCCGATCTGAGTTAAAGCAGCAGGGATTTGGGCTGGACACAAGGAAGGATCTGCTGAATTTCAACATGGTCAAAAAAAGATAGTTCAGTTTCCAATTGGCGTGTTTCAGAGCAGACGACTCTGTACAACGAACGCCTGTCTGCCCAAGGCTGGGGGCGGCCGATGGCCTCTCCAGCCACTTCTCAGTGCTGGGACTGGTGACAGAGCATGTCGAGAGGGACGGGAGAGAGAGTGGAACCTCGGAGGCCTACATTGAACTCATATGGGCCTCCCCACAGAGCAGCCGGCCGAGAGACGGGGGTAGGGCAGGACGGGGTCTCCAGGGTCTCCCCCAACCCAGCCCCAGCTCGGGCCCACTTACTTGAAGTTGATGTTGGCACAGACCAGCATGTCATTGAGCAGGAAGACCCTGCGCTCCTTGGACTTGATCAGCTGCCCGCGGTCACCGTACACGGTCTCGGTCAATGTCTCACACAGGAGCAGCTGCCGCTGGCCCGAGGTCAGCAGCTGGGGAAGGGGGCAGGGGAGGTCAGCATCACAACCCAGGTGGCTTTACCCTGACAAAGGCCCAGGTTCTCCCACGGTGCAAAGGGAGACCCAGGCTGGGGGGAGCAGAGGAGGAGGTGGGGCTCCTCCTCCAGCCCTGGGGGAGGAGATGCACTGGGGAAGAAGAGAAACACTCGCGGGGCTCTGCACTCTGGGGAGCCTGACCACCCACCCTTGCACCCACCGGACCCAGCGGCCAGCACCCCCATCTCAGGTGAGCCAGCCATTGCCAGCCACCCCCTGTGATGATCCTGCATGACCACCACGGCCAAGGACACAGCTCTGGAGTCACAGACACCAGCTCCACCCCAGCCCCAATCCCCAGTGGTACAGCCCTCGGGCAGGTCACTTCACCCACCCAAGCCTCAGTTTCCTCAGCTGTCAAGTGGGTGCAATGGTCATTGCTCTACTGCTGAAATCACATGAGGTAACCAACGCATGACTGGGTCTGACTTCACGATTTTCAGAGCCCAGTGCAAAATAAATGTGAAGGCCCTCATTCGAAAGCTATTAGCAGATTTCAAGACAGCCACAGCAGAACACTAAACCAAGCGTGGGGCCCTTCTGGGCACGGGCTGTGTGTGACCGCACAGGTCATGGGCCCTTGAGGCCAGCCCTGCAGGTGGCACGCAACAGGAGCTCCAAAGACAGCCACTGTCTGTGATGGTCGCTGACATGGAGAGGGTTGTCCTTGGGCAGGGGACACCTGGCCCAGGAGTCAGTCCCGGCACCGCACCCTGACCAGTTGAAAGCTTTGGCCCCTCTCGCCTCTTGGACGGGTTGGAACGGACCTGCCGGTCAACAGTGCCCCCTCTGAGAAGGCCAAGACTCAAGCCCAAGGCGTCGAGCAGGCATTTGCCAATCTCACGGTTGACACTGAGACCCTTCTGCTGGCACAGGGACCACCAACCCATCCCGGGAGCCAATGGGAAAACATCCTTTTTCCTAACAGGGACTTTTTTCCCGGGGAGGGCTATTCAGCGAAATTCATTCCCCAGACCTGTGACTCTGATGACAACCACTACTTCTCCCTCCTTTCCCCACCCTGGCTGGCAGAGGGACAGATCACGCCAAGCCCGCCTGGAGAGGATGCTGCCACTCTCCAAAGAAGCACATCGCTCAAGTCAACACACAACCAGAGTCCCAGTGGGGCGAGACGCCTGCCGTGCACTGGGTCCTGCAGGTGACACTCCGCACTCCACATTTTGTTGTGTCGGCTCTGCCATCCTGTCAGGCAATCCCCATTTCCCAGATGAGCAAACTGAGATTCCAAGACAAGCCCTGATGAAATGACAGATGGTACAGGATAGAGCCAAGCCACGCCCACTGTCCCCTGCACCGTGCAGCCAGCGCACAGTATGACAGGAGCCGGGGAGGCCCTGCTGGTCCTAACACACAGGAGGACTCAGAGATCCCCAGGGGTCCCCCATGCCATGAAGGCTGGGATCCCCCCCAGTATTTCCATAAACGAGCCGAGAGCAGCTCGTGAAAACACTACTGGGACTCCGAAGACAGCAGGGCCCCCGCGGAAGGCTGCCAAGTGTGACATAACCCACGACTTGAAAGAGGAAAGTCCCCTGGGCTCAGGCAATCATCCCCTGCCCCTTGAGCTGATTTAAAAAAACAAAAGAAAAAGAAAACCCGGATATTGCACAAACATCCCCCGGGAGGCTCCTGAGTAGGCCATTTTGAAATAGCTGGCATGGTTCCGTTTGGGGCCACACTCAGTTTCGTTTCTGCTTCCCCCTGGGTGATGGTGACAGGGACATCACTGCACAGGTTTCAGGACTGGCCAGGACTGCCCAAGGAGGGCCCTGGAGAGGGACGCACACTCTTCTCAACATCCCACACGTATCCAACTCAGCCCCACTCGACAGACAGAGAAACTGAGGCTCGGAGCCTCTGGTCCCCTGCCAGACATCAAGCAGGCCACCCTGACCTCCAGCCAGTGCCCACCACACTCTGCTGCCCCGGCCTCCACGGGACAGAGCTACGGAGAACAGGACAGCCCTTCCCAGGGCAAACGCTACAGGATTTATTTCCTTCTGCCCGTGGCGTCTTCCCACTGCAGCTGCACGGATGTACGAGCCACAGCAAGAGAAAGAAAGACAGCCTCCTGGTCACAGCACAGGGAACCGAGGGCGGGGCAGAAGGAGACACTTCCCAAGTGCAAAGGCCAGCACAGGTGGCCATGGTTGGGCTGAAGCCTTTTTCTCCAGTCACATTCCAAACTAGGAAGCTTGTAGGGGACAGCTGAGTTAGTCCTGCCTGGAGGCAGGGGGTGGGGGAATGACCTCCCCCCTCACTAATGCCCCCCCAGCAGTCCTGGTTGGGGACATCCCCCAGGAGAGGGCTCTGTCCCCTGCCCGCCTTGTCTTCCCAAGCCCTATCCACCTGGAGCAGGTGATCAAACCCAGAAGCCTTCAGCACCAGCAGGTAGCGTCGGTGGGAAGAGATAGGTAAGGATGAGGGGAAGTGGACAGCCACTACTCAGGTGACCAGTGTCACGCAGGAAGGAGGGCCAGTGGACCAGCTCTTCCAACCCTTCCAAAAGACCCACAAGTCTGAATCTTATAGGACATCTATTTTTAAATGTTGGCAACCACTTCTATGTTCTTGAAAATATTGCATGGGCCGCAAAATACACCTGTAGCCTGAGATTAGCCTGAGACAGAAGAGGCCCAACATGTGGGACCTCCGAAGTTTAGCACGTCACCCTGCAGGTGACTGTGTCCCAGCCCCGCTCCTCAGGGCTGTCATGAAGATCAAAGATGGTAAGGCAGGTCAGAGCAGCTGCTATACTGTAAAGGGCAGTGCACATGGAAAGGGCTGCCACCTCTCTTGGCAGTCCTCCCTGGACCATTAGAAAGATCCTCCCTACGCTGCTGAAATAGCACCCCCGCCTCCCGGAGCTGCCAGCCGCTAGCCTTCACTCTGCGTTTGGGACCCCACAAGGCCAAAAGGGCTCCCAGTTTTTTCCCCAGAAGCTTTGAACCTTTCCCTATGATTCCATACAGTGTCCCTT